GAGCTGTCCACAAAGTCAGGAGAGATGCTCCCTGTGTTTCCTGCTTCTCACTCCACCTGGAAAACCTTGAAGAAATGGCAATGCCAGGCTATACCCCAGGCCAGTTAAATTAGAATCATGGAGGTGGGTGCTGGTCAAAGTGATTTTTTAAAAAAATTCCCCAGGAGATTCTGGTGCATGGCCACAGCTGAGAGGCACTGACAGGATGAAGCTAGCTCATTTTACCTGCAGACTAAACCTCTCAAAGGGACAAGCATGTCCCAAAAAACTTTGAGCTTGACCCAGTCAGCCTGGGCTGGAACTCAAGGTCCTGCATTTTAGTGATCAAGCAGGTAATGGCCCCAATTGCAGCCCCAAAGTTTGAGGAGAGAATTTAAAACTCCAGAAGACAGTTAAGGTGTTCTGACTCAGAATGCATGCTGTGTACAAATCTCTGGTGATATTACAGCTCTGGGATGCATTTATTTTGAGCATCCTTGAAGGGCCTAGCTCTCTGGGGCCTTTGGGGGCCTATGTGTCTAGAGTAACCCAGTGCTTCTATGTCCTGGGCACCCCCGTGCTTTTGGGGAACACTGAGCACACATGTCTGTAGGAGTCAGCTCCTCAGGGGGAGGTAATACCAAGTCTAGGGTGCAGCATTTTCCAGGCCAGCCTGGTTTAATTCTCCCAGCAAGTCTCTGAAGTAGTGGGCTCAGGACTCCGTGGCTGCCTTTGCTGTCATCCTGGCACTGCTGTGGTCTAGCTGTATGGCCTAGGGCACTTCACCTCTCTGTGGCTGTCCTCAGACAGTGTGTGGAGAACAATGGCTTCTCCTTTGGGGTTATTGTGAGGACTAATGAGGTGATTAAGCTCTAGTATTAATGTCACTGATGGTTAGTATGAAGTATACAGAGTCTTAGCTACTGTTTTCTTACTATGACTGTTCTTGTGTGTTTCCTTCAAAGAAGGAAGCTCAGATTTTCTGGGCTCTGCTCTGAGTGACCCTTTTCTAAGCAGGGTGCCAGGTGAAGGTGATGGACACACACATATGTGGCTAGAACCTGTAGTTCCTGCTCTTGCTGGATTGTCAGTGTAAGAACACAGGGACCACAAGGCAGGTTAGGGTGGCCAGCAAAGATGCCAGAGGGCTTAGCAGGAATAGTCCTGTCCTCTTCCTCATTAACAGCTGAAGAAATTGAGGCTTGTGAGACTTGTTTGGGAACAAGGAACTGGCCTGTTGCAAAGCAAGGATTCAAACCTGAGAAGCCTCTAAATTCCTGCCAATGAGACTTGCTTAGGGGACCTGCCTCCTCCTTCTTGGCACTGAGCCTGGTGCTCATAGCCAGGAGTGGATGGGCTCTTCTAGGGACTGAGGTGGGACAAGGAAGGGGTTCATGGCATCTCTGATACCCATGGTGCTCTGTGCACAAAAGAGGGGAAGAGGAGTGACATGTAGGCAGGACTCTTGGTTGGGAAGATCTGCTCCAGGCTCCCGTGGTTTCTGCCCATCTCCAAGGGGATTCTGGCCCTGGTCTCGAAGCCCACCCTTGCAGGTGGTCATGCTTACTCTTCTGCAGGCCCAGCCCTGGGGCTCTTGCCTCTTTAATGTGCCTGTATAAAAATGCCAATTTCAAGACTGAGCCTTTTTGCACTAAAAAACAGTTATTGAAAAAGTGATAAAAACTGATGTGCTGTTTAGAAAAGTCACTGGATAGCTTACAAATATTTAGAACAGAAAGTGAATATCCTCTCTATACCTTGCAATACACTCTATAGTTAGTGTGGCTGTGGGTAGTTAGATGTTTTCTAAGCATTTATGTACACGTCATGTATACTTATATTGATATCATTAAAAAATGACAAATATGGAATTTTGTGCAGTTGGGGAGTCCAGTTGTGGGATCCCTGGTCCAGCTGCTGCAGCAGGTGCCACTGCCTTAAGCTGCAGTGATAGGCCTCCTGGGCTGTACCCAGACAGCATGTGGGTGCAGCTGTGGGCCTGTGCCCTGCATAAAACTCAGTCCTGTGGCCTCCTGTGAGGCTCAACCACCCATTATGGTCAGCAGAGTTGGAGCTGAGTTCAAAATAGCGTGCAGCCTCAACAGCAGGAGAGGCCAGTGGCTCAAAAAATGCCAACTCTGATGAAGAAGCCTTCATCAGGATCAGGAGGTCCAGCTGACCAAGGATACCACCTTAGGTCACTCACCTTTTGAAACCAGAAGTATGTGATCTTGGGGAAGTTGCTTCACAGCACGTGGGTTTCAGATGAAGTGCTGGGGCTCAGTGATAGCACAACAGAACAGCTGAGGGTACTGAGGTGCCTGGAGAGCCCACCTTTGTTATAGTTACTGAGCATCATGGGCCAGGATCCAGCTGGGCAGAAGGATGTGAAGGTCATTTCCAGCCTTGTGCATCAGTAGTCTAAGGATCAATCGAGAGAGGCTTCCTGGAGGTAGTGACACCTGGTCTGGACTTAGAAACCTTAGGATTTCCTCAGCCAAGATCCTTCCCTTCTGTTTCAACATCTAAAAAAAAATGCAGAGTTTGCTCAAGTCAGGGGTTCTTTGTCTAAATTGCATCAGAACCCCCAGAGGGCTTGTTAGAGCTCAAACAGAGGGCCTGCCCCAAGTTTCTAATAAGGCAGGGACAAGAATGTGCATTGTGACACGTGCTGAGTGGTGTGTCTGTAAATCTGAGCCCCCATCTTGGGTGAAGCAGCACTGAGTGTGGGCCATGGATGTTCCAATCCTGCCTCATCGCAGGGACTTGCCATGACCTCTTGACCTCCTTGCAAAGGACTTCCAGGGGATTTTATGGAGGCTTCTAGGTGTTTGGCCAGGAGGCTCAGTTGCTGTGCTTTGGGAAAGGGCCTGTTGTGCCTGTGCCCTCTTTGGAGGGCAACAGCCCGGGCCCTCTCATGGCAGAAAAATAATCATGGCTATGGTTTGCTCTGCACAGTGGAGCAGCTGAGGCCAGAATGGTTTAGAGGCTTGCCCCAGTTGGGTCAGAGGGGCTAGGGGCAGTGGTATCAATGCAAGGTCAGCACTGAGGGCCAAGGGAGCCCGGGGAGGGTGTGTGCACTTTCCATCTTCCTAGTCATGAGGAGGCAGCCCTGCCACCAGAGAGGGAGGATATGTGGCTGCCTGGGGAGGCAGGCAATGGGGCAGGGGCACCTGCTTGCCAGTGACTGGAGAGGACATAGCCTGGCCATAGCCCCATAAAGGCAGAAAGGCCCTGCTCCTCCACTCCAACCTCAGCCTGCCTGCCCTCCAAGGGTGGGACTATTTGAGCAAGGGGATGGGAGTGGGGGTTCAGGCCACACCAGGCCAGCCTGATGGAGCACTATCTTTCAAGGCCTCAGGCTGGCAAATTCCCATAAAGCTCCTTTCAGGTGCAGCTGTCTGCCTTAGGCAGTGAGGAAACTGAGAACCAGAGGGCTACGGGCTCTCCCAGGCCTCACAAGAGCTTCCAGAAGAGGCCTTACTATAGCATGAGGTGGGAACCCTCTGTTCCATTACACAGGGCCAGGCCACAGTGGGCAGCCCCAACATGGGAACACCCAGTCCCTAGACTGTTGCCCGACATCTATGTCTAATAGGCATCTCAAGTTCAAAAGGTCATGTCCAAAAGCATGTTCTAGATCTTTCCTCAAACCCCACCCTCATGCTTTCCCTTTGCTGGTCAGTCACTCAGGCCAGAGACCATTCTTTACATGTCCAAAGTCAATCCTGCTCCCCTCCTCCTCTGTTACTGTTACCAACGGTGTTGGTGGCAAAATTGGACCTTGGTTCTTGAATTCAGCAAAGAAAGATTTCAGAGCCAACAACTCAAATTATAAAAGAAAGCTTATTTAGAAAGTTACTGAGGTAGTAGAAGGGCCCTTGGAGTTTAAGAGAGAGAAAGGCAGAGGTAACACCTCTAGGGGGAAAGGGAAAGGTGCAGGTGTGCTCCCAGTGGGAAAATGTGTGCTGGGTCCTTCATCTTGAGGGTTTTCAAAGGCTGGGAGTTTAAGGGAGGTCTTAGGGGAGATCTCAATAGCATATTCATCAACTTTACGCTGATGTGCCAAAATAAGATTTATTCCCCTGACTTTATCCATCCTTGGGTATGGTGGGCACAAATGGCACTAATTGGATTTTTGTTATCTATCTCCCTGAGTAAAGTGGTTTAAGCTATTTGCACCCTGATTGGGGAGAAGTGTAAACCTTTTACTTTTAAGTGTCCTTGGTTAGGGAAAATAGGATTTTGTGATTTACTAGGTGGCTATAAACTGCTTGGCTGTTTAACTATCTGTCTCAGTTTCCCTATTCTGCTTGTCCTGGCTGACTAGCCTGTCTCACTACCACCTGACCTGAGAAATCTCTCCCTGGGTTATGACAAAACCCACCAACTGGTTTTCAGATCCCTTCACTGCTGGAACTCTACATTGTAGCCAAGGTGACCTTCAACCCTGAGTCAGGTCACTCCTGTGCTCAGAGCTCCCTCAGTTTCTGTCTTACTCAGAGAAACAACACACAATAATCTGGCCCTTGAGAATGTGCATGATCTGGCTTATTACTCTTCAGATACTCTCCCTGCTCATCCCCTCCACATACACTGGCCTCAGGATCTTGGCACCCACTATCCATTATGCCTAGAACATTCCTTTCTTATCCTAGGGAGCTACACAGCTGATGACATTGGTGGGTCCCAATATCACCTTAACAAGGCTGCCCCATCTCACCTCTTCCATGTCATATGTTCAAGTTCTCCTCCTGGGTTGTATTTCTCCATAGTTGTTTTTTTTTTTCTCTGATTGGGGCAGAATCCTAAGAGGCTGGGTTCTATGTGTCCTGGCACCTGGAATGAGGCATGGTGTACATGAGGCAGGTGCTGAAGAAATACTTATCAGACATCCAGTGGCTGCAGGCCCTCCTACATGAGTTGATGTCTCATGAATGGTGTACCACTTACCATGAAGACCAGGAGGGGACCTAAAGGAGGCTGTTCTGATGTCTCATGGCCTTGTTCTTCTCTCACAGAAACTATGCCCCAGACTTCCATCATCTTCTCCAGCATACTTGGGCCCAGCTGTAGTGAACAGGTGCAGCCTGTAATGGGGGAGCAAGGAGGCGGGGCCAGTGGTTCCAGGGACCTCATCTTCCAGGATGGACGCCTCATCTCCGGGTCCCTGGAGGCCTTGATGGAGCACCTTGTCCCCACAGTGGATTATTACCCTGATGTGAGTGCCTGAGCCTGGAGAAAGGTGGGGTGACCGGGGTTCCAGGGGAAGCTCCTTCTGGGATGAGGAGGGAGGGCCAGGGGAGGGTCATGGCAGGCCAGTGAGGAGTGACTTCCCTGTGGCCTCCAGGAAGGTGGAAGATGGTCCTGGTAACATAAGCAAACAACATATTTTATGGGCAGGGCCCAAGGGGAGGAAGAGATGTCTAAAGGTCAGGCCAATTCCTCAGAGTCCAGGTGAGGCCCTTCCCTGCACTTGTCCTGTCCCTGAGTTGGGAAGTTTGCTTTGTGCATGAACCACCATAGTCCAGAATAAAGAGGGGATAGCCCTGCTACACCTGCTGGCATTTGGACCCTAGGGCACAGGTACACACCACCTTGGCCAGGCTTCACCTACAATCCAGAGCCTTCCTCTTCAACTCAAGATGAGGTGGGTACATTCTTGGAACGGAGAGAAAGAGTTCACTTGGCATATGAGATTCCCTTCTGCCTCTGATAGCAGTGGTGATGGAACTAGAAAAGTTGGCATTTGTGCTGCCTCTCATATCCAGAACCAATAAGTAGAGACAAGGATTGGATATTTATGGGTACTTGATTCAGATGCCGACATTCCAAGAAGATGGCAATTATATACCCTAAAAACCATTTTAACATCTCATTTCAAAACAACAAACATTTTTTTAGAGTTTTTTTCTTTTTTTTAATTTTAATCATTGTTCAAATACAGTTTTCTCCTTTTTACTCCCAATCCAGTCCCCCCTCCCACCCTCCCCACTTCCCTCCCATTACCACCCTCCCCTTAGTTTATGACCATGTATCCTTTAAGTTTATTCCTGTGAACCCTTCCCACTGTCCCCTTAAATTCCCTCTTCTCTCCCCTGCAGTCACTGTCAGCCTGTCCTCTATTTCAGTGTCTTTGGTTATATTTGGCTTATTTCTTTGTTCTGTTATTTAGGTTCCTGTTAAAGGTGAGATCATATGGTATTTGTCTTTCACTGACTGGCTTGTTTCGCTAAGCATAATGTTTTCCAGCTCCATCCACGCTACAACAAACATTTTTATAAGAAGAAAAAGGGTAGGTAAGTGGTTTTGGGAAAGGTTAATCTGATAAGAATTGTAGTCAGATGGGGATTTTCCTAATATTTCTTTATCTACTGACCAAGAATTCTTTATCTGCATCATGGACATTCCTTTCCTAGAACACAGTGGCTCAGATGCCACCTCCATTGCTTGCAGATCCTCTGGGGCACAAAAGTTGAATTGCTTGTTGACCTCCAGGAGTCACATAGGTCATGTATTCCAGTTTCTGAAACAATAGTTTTCCACATGCATTAATCAGTTAAGTCTAACAACTATAACTAAAGCTGAAATGTTTAACTCTTGTGTTCCCCTATCATCCCCCGCTGTTAGTTTTAATCATCTTATTTCTAGGAAACTAGTTTTATATGGAGATAATAATTTTACTGTTGAGCATATAGGAGTAAACTCTCCTTCTATATGTTAAAAACCATCCTGTAGGCAATTTGATGTGACTGAAGGATAAAATATATTAGTGATAGTTTTGCAATTCATCTCCAAATCTGCTGAAAACATAAAATGGTATTTAGTACAATTGACAAAGATTGTACACTCTCCAGCTGGGGCTACATTACTGATTTTTAAAGGAAACATTTCCCTGTCCTTAGATTTACCATAGGTCCCCAATTATATTAATAATTTTGGAGGCTTTCCAGGGAAGTACAAACACCTACAAGACATGAAGTAAAAGTTTGTTCAACAAAGGTTCCTCCTATAAGACAAAAGTGAGAGATATTTAAAAAATGTTTACTAAATATACCCAGATATTTTCATCTTGTTTGAAAGAAATAAGTTCTCCATAACATGGGAAGAGAATATGTCATTGTTTTCAAAAGATGACTTTCAGGTCTTCATGTGGATCCATTGTTCTTCTGGTGCTTTCTTTATTCTGATGTGATGAAGCCAAGGTTTTATTCCTGACAATTTTGTCATGGTTGGGGCAGTGAGGAGTACATCCCTAGGTTCAGTCCACTTTTCTTCTATTTGGCTTTCCTGTCTTCCAAGTCTTAGGTAGCACCTTATCTTCAGGCTCAAAGGAATGTAGAGAACCTGTGGAAGAGAGGACTCTAATACAAGTGAGGTCATTAATCACAGCTAAGGTCTGATTTAAATGTTGTACATAATTCTGTACCTTCACTTCTTGATCTAAATACATATCTCCCTCCCCAATCATAGCCTAAAATGGTCACCTGTGTACAATTTCACAGGGACTCAACTGAACCCCACTTTGAGGAACCACCTTTATCCTGAGCAGAGCAATAGGTAAAGCTTGATGCCAATGGAGATGATTTTCTTGACACAGTTTGGCTATATTTTTCTTTAAGGTCTGATTCATCTCTACTTTCCCAGAAACCTGAGGTCTCCATGCTGTATGAAGTCTCCACCTGATTCATAAAATTTACTAACTTTCTGTATAATTTCTGAAACAGAAGCAGGTCCATTATTGCTCTGTATGCTGCCAGTTAGGCCAAAGCAAGGAATTATTTCCTTCTGTAGGGCTTTCACTATTTCTGAGGACTTATCAGGTCTAGTAGGGTATACTTCTACCAATCCTGAAAATGTATCAACAAAGACTAACAAATATTTCCATCCTCGGAACCTCAGTATCTGGTTAAAGTCTATTTGCTAGTCTTCAAATGGGCACTGTTCTTGGGATTACTTCTTTCTTTCTTCTCATGGGAATCTGTCTTGGGGTATGCTTCTGGCATACAACACATCTAACTGTTGTTTTCCTTATGGCTTTAGAAATTCTAGGACCTATGAGTCATGGTTTAATATAGGTGGTTAATGAATCTGTTCCATAGTGAGTGGAGTCGCTCACTATGCAAATGCTTCATGACTGGCTCTACTTAATGTTCAGGAAGCAATATAATCCTTTTCTTAATCTTTCTCCATTTACTATTGGAGCCTTCTTCATCAAGACCCAAGCTCTTAGCTTTCTGTAAGTTTGCAGTCAAATATTCAGGGTAAAAATGTGACAAGTCTAAAACAGATACCAAAGGCATTATAAATGTACCTTTAGCGGCTTTTTGCTGCTTGATTGGTCAGATTGTTTCCTCTACCCACTTCAGTGTCCTCTTTCTAATGCCCCAGGTAGTGCATAACTGTCATCTGTAAAGGTACCTGAACAGCTTGTAATAATTTTAAAATTTCTATTGCATGCTTAATTTTTTTTATTGGAGGCTAATAGTCCTCTTTCCTTCCAGATGGAACCACGTGCAGGCAAAATTAGGAAAGAACACCTCAAGTCAGTATACACATTCACTTTCTTTTTGTGGGACAATTCTAGTGTCTTCATCACTGCAGTCAGTTCAGCTTTCTAAGCAGCAGTGAGGCCTTGGCCTCTACTGTTCCTTCCAGACTCACAACTGCATACCCAGCCTTTCTGTTTCCTTTTTCCATATAACTGCTTTCATCTGCATATAGAGTACAGTCTGCCTCTTCTCAAGGATGGTCCTGTAAATCAATTCTGCTAGAATAGACTTCATCAATTATTTCAGTACAGTCATGCTTCAGCACAGCCAAGTCAGAGTTTGGGAGAAAGGAGGCAGGATTTAATTTACAATTTTGAGAAAGACATTGGGATTGTCAAGAAGAATTGCTTGATACCTGCCCATTCTTCCAGCAGTAAGCCACAAATTTCCTTTTTGTTCTAGTAGGCTCAGCAGTTGGTGGGGTGCATAAATGGTGAATGGCTGTCCCAAGAAGAACTTTTCAGCTTCCTATAAAAGCTCATAGGTGGCTGCCCCAGCTCTCAAGCAAGCTGGCCACCTCCGCAAAGTGCGATCTAATTTCTTTGACAAGTATTCTTCTAAGAAACTCAAAGGGGTCCTCAGAACACTTTTGTTACACCATGTTACATACTCAGACTTTTATGCTTAGGGATTTCTTTCTTTAGTCCCTCAAGGATGCACATCTTATAATACTCTAAGAGAAGAAGGCCATTCTCATTAGTGTTCCAGTTGAGCTCAGTTAAAAGTATTGCGTTAGTACAGTTGGGAGCCTCATCTGTATTTTCTTGGTGCAGTCTCCATGCCTCTTTATTTGCTTTATCCAGTACCAATCTCTGCTCATCCCTCATAAGCAAAATATTCAGTAAGGTTTATTCAGTAAGTCTACCAGTTGGGATGGTGAATGGCAAAAGTTGACATAACTCAGTCCATCATTTTAGAAGGATCATTTCTATAAGATTTTACAGTTTAACAGATTAGATGTAGAAAATGGAGTGTATGCCCAATAATATCCAGCAGGCTGGCCCTGGCGCTACTCCCACTGGAAGTCTTCACATGAGATATTGCCCTGCCCCAGTAGGGGCTTGTCTTCTTCTAAATTTGGTTCCCTTGTGGGCTTGGGATGGAGAGACAAGTTCAGGCTCACCTCCTTCAGCTCCCTCAGTTGGGTAAGGAGGAGGATTCCCTGGGGTTTGAGGGGCCATGGGAACCCTGACCATGCTTACAGCAGCCATGACATCCTGATCTTCCTGGTCCCTCTCTTCTGAGCTTCTGCTATCTGCCACAGGTAAATTCCCTTTTTTTTCTGGGCCATCAATCTATTTCCTTTTAGTCCTGCATCTTCATCTCTATTGTATAAAGTCATAAAAGCCTGTACATAAGGTATTTCATTCCATTTCCCTGATCTTTGACAAAACAACTCTAATTGCCATGTAGTATAGTAATTTAAAAACCCATTCAGTGGCCTGGACTCTCCTGAGTCCAAATTATACATAAGCCAAGCATTATTGCAATAAAAACATTCCATTTTTAGCCATAGGTTCATAAGCATAGGTTAACCAATCAGTCAGATTTAGCCTCAAAGGGCTGTTTCCAGAATGGAGGATCCCCTGCCCATTCTACCAGACAGAGCACTGTAACATCACACAAACCAAAAGGCATCTTAATTTCTGATGACCATTCTAAATTGTAACCCAAGACTGTAACACTGAACCAGCAATTCGATTGAAAGTGAAGGCAATGAGGAATGCCCAGAATTGGAGGAGAGTCCTCACTGAAATCACTTGACAGCTGCTAAGGAGTCCCCAAATCAGCACACCCAGGGCCCCCAATCCAGGCAGCCAATGGGACTCCCTGTCAAATACCCAGACTTACTGGAGAGTCCTCATGGTGTTCCCCCAGTCACCAGAAAATGAAACTGGGAAAGTCAGCATTTGTGCTGCCTGTCACTACCAGAATGAATAATTAGAAACAAGAATTGAATCTTTATGGTCACTTATCCAAATGCTGGTGATATGAGAAGATGGGAGGTAATGTGCCCTAAACACCATCTTAACATCTCACCTCAAGCTGACCTTTTTATAAGGAGAAGAAAAGGGTAGGTAAGTGGTTTGGAAAAGGGTTAATCAGATAAGAATTGCAGTCTGGCAGCAGTTTTCCTACTATTTCTTTATCTACTGGTCAACACCTTTTTTATTTGCATCACAGTCATTCTTTCCCTGGCACACAATGGCTCAGATATTATTTTATCACTTACAGATACCCTGGGACACAAAGGTTGACTTGCTTGTTGACCTTCTGGAATCATGTAGGTCAGGGGTCCACAAATCCCAGGCTGTGGACCAGTACTAGTCCATGGACTGTTAGGAACTGGGCTGTACAACAGGAAGTGAGGAGCAGGCAAACAAGCAAAGCTTTGTTCACATTACTGTCTGAGCTCCATCTTCTGTCACAGTGAGTGAGTGAGCAAAGCTTCACTCAAATTACCTCCTGAGCTCTGTGTTTCTGTCTCCCCACCCTACCCCATCCGAGGAAAAATTGTCTTCCATGAAACTAGTCCCTCATGCTAAAAGGTTAGGGACCACTGTTGTAGGTTATATATTCTAGTTTCTGGAACAATAGCCTTACACATGCATTAATTACTTAAGCCTATCAACTGTAACTAAAGCTGAATTCTTTAACTCTTTAAGTTCCCCTATCAGTGACATTGTGCCTGCCTGCTCCCTTTCAAGAGCCAAGCTGCACTGGCCTTTCCAGTGACAACTTTATCCACAGGGCAGAGCTGGGTTCCCTGGCCTTTTTGAGTCAGACATGGCCTAGGGAAAGTCGGAAGGAATTGCCCCCCCGCCCCCGCCCCAGCATTTATCTAATGGTGCTGGAGACAACTAAGCTTCTGGGGATTTGTGGCCCACCCATAACAGAACTCCTCCCTTCTTCCTGGGGCTCTGTCTGTTCTTCCTCTGTCCTTCCGTCCATTGCATAAACCCCTCTCATGGTGTGGCTGGGGCTACCTCTGCCACTTTTCAGCTCAGATCATAAGGAATCCTCAGAGTCTGCACTGCAAAGCCCAGTGAGGAGGGCACATACATGTGGAACAGTGCCATGGTGTGGCAGTTTTAGACAAGGCCCATAACAAATTAGTGATTGCACAGGTACTGAGGTCAATGAGGCCCTACCCTGCCCCATGGACAAGGCCACACCCCATCATCAAGGGCCCATAGAGCAGGCCAGTAAAAACATGGAGAAGAAGCAGGCTTGGAGCCAGGCTCAGGGAGCACAGTGAAATAGGCAACAGGCTCACATAGGTTTGAAGAGTCTTGCCAACATCCAGTGCTATGTTAGCACCCATTTGGGGGTAGGACAGAGGGTGGGGAGAAGCCCATCAGAGCACGACTGCTGGGAGCTGAGCTCATCAGGGAGGCCTCCTTGAGCTGTGGCAAGGTGGGGTTGATCTGTTCCATGCAAGGTGGGCAGGATTTGGATGACAGTGAGAGAGAAGAAGGGAATCCAAGGTGAAGTAAACCATGCGGATAATGTGGCTACTTTCATAGTGATGTTGGGCTTGGGAGGTAGCAGGGCCAAGTGGAGCAGCAGGCTTGGGGGCTCTGCCAGGTCTGACCTACACTTTTCCCTCTCTCCCTTTTCTTTCTTTTTCCCCTCTTTTCTTCAGGGAACGTACATCTTCACATTTCTCTTGAGCTCCCGGGTGTTCATACCCCCTCATGACCTGCTGGTCCGTGTGGGGCAGATCTACCTGGAGCAGAGGCAGCAGCTGGAGGCTGGGTCTGAGAAGGTAAAGGTGTGCTTACCAGATGCTGCCTGTCTCTGTGTCCCTGGCTAACACTCCCACTCCTACTCCAAGAGAACATGCTCAGAATGAGCTGCAAGACAGGGTCTGGTTGAGCCTAGCCTGGGGTCCTCCCTGATGGCAGCATACCTGGGACATGGCTCACCTCCCATGATGTGGAAGTAATTACTGTTGGTGGGCATTCACATCTCCTCCAAGGAAGGGCCCCAGTGAACTGTTCTGCTAGCTCTCCTGATCAGTGCTAGGACCTTCCAATGGAAGCCTGACTGCAGTTGGTGAAAAAGAAGCCAAAGGGACCTAGGTCACTGCCTCCTCAAAAGGGTCAGGTAGCAGTACCCTCAGTCTGGTGCTTGCTCATATGAGTATTCAGTGACTCAAACAGGGATGTTTGCCACTATTGTCCCTTCTGATTGAGCCAGGCTTTTGGCAGTCAGGATGGTTAAGAAACCACAGCTCAGTTCTTAGGCCCTGGGTGTTGGGGTGAGGTCTGAGAAACTCAGGGTTTGGTGTAGAAGAGGGGGTGGTGAGCATGCTCTTAGAGCTGGCAATGCAGTCTGTGGCACAGCAGGGCCTGTCCCTGTTTCTTAATGGCATTCCCTGCTATCTTCCCACCATGAAGCTGAGCTCTGGAGGGTTTGCAGCAAAGGTCTGTGAATGCCCATGCCTTCTCAGAGTCTCCTCCTCAGAGGGACTGTCTTGGAGTTCTGCAGGGCAGAGATAGGGACAGATTCTGACAAAAGCTTGGCTATCAGGAAAAGTTCCTGAGGGACAGGTAGAAATAACCCAGAACAGGGTGAGTGGGGATGCTAAGGGAGAGGAGCTGGAGCTGAGCCTGCCAGACTCTGTCCATGGTGACATGCTTGGCAGGACTCTGATGGGACTCTGGCTCCTGATAAGTGTGGATGCCATCAGCAGTTGGAGGAAATAACAGCAAAGCTTTCTGGGATATCTTTGCACTAGACTCTGGCCAGAGGCAGTATCTGTGGGATCATAGGGCTGGCTAATGGAGGCTTTGCCAGGTGTGGTAAATCATTACTAAGGGACCAGCTGGAGGCTTGGGGCAGCCAGAGTCAGGCAGGTTGGAGGAAGCAGAGGGGGCTTGGGAAGGTACAGGGCTGTGGAGTTGGGTCCTCTAGGAGCCTGGCCCTGAGGGCAGTTGTGGGCACCCTGGAATGATCCAGGTTGGACAGGAATGGGCAGGTAACCAGGAAGGGCAAGAAAAAGTGATGGTGGCACAGGAGCTGGCAGGGGTGGTGGTGGTTGTGGGTCCATGTGGGCATTTCAGGGGGATACTTCCACCAAGTATCTGACACTCCCTCCTCTCCTCTCGTGGAGCCACAGCAGGACTGTCAGGACCACCTTTAATGACACAAAATGGGGAGGAGGTTGCCTCCAGGTGTCTGTGTTCCTTCCCAGCACTTGTTAACCTGCCTCTACTGAGAGGAGACAGGCAAGAGTCTCTTATTTATTGCTAAAAAATTTGCTTGGTTTTCACTGCATTCTTTTTTATGAGTAATTTCTAACTACAAAAAAATTAAACTAGTTTTCTATGCCATGGTAGTGACGGGGCAAGTTTTGTGAAAATGAATTTACTTAAATGAAAAAATAAAGAGCTGAATTAACGGTGCCAACTGATGGTTTTGTCATCAATTCACTGCCAACAAGAATCCCCATTTTGGGGTGTGGTGAAGAAAGAAACTTTATTCAGTGCAAAAGAGCTCAATTGTGATATAGCACAGCTGTGAAAATACCATGGCTATGGAACAACTCAATAGTGTTACAGCTCAATTATGAAGCAGCACAACTCTGAGGCAGCTCTGAGGCACTCTGGCCAGCCTTCTTTGGTGTTTCAGCTCCAGCCAGGGAAATGCAGCCTTTATTGGCATTGGAAAGGGAAAGTATGCCCCCTAAGAAAGAGGGGAACTCACTTTGTATAGAGAGAGAAGTTCGCACTCCTCTTCCCTGATTGGTCTTTCCTTGTAAATGAGTACTCCATATCTTTGCACGTTGATCCCCAAAAGCACTGTCCTGATTGATCAGAATGGAATTGCTCTGGTGGATGAAGATGCTAATGGAGATATAGCTACAAAGCTCCAATTGGATGGGGAAAGCCTCAGTCTTGTTGATTGAAATAAGATTCCAGTAACTCCTTTAATAGGTCTGGCTCACATGGGAGAAGTACAGTGCCCACAGGCAGTACAGTGCAAGATTCTGAAGCATGGCTTGTGTGAGAGGCCCATTTGGAAATAGCTGCTAAGCTGTTTTTTAAAAATTGGGGTCCAGTTAGCCACCAGGAGTCCTTCTTGGTAGGTATCGTCTTTCTCAGGTTCCACCAGGGGGATATGAAACAAAGCAAGTATAACAAAACTCCAAGAGGACGGGCTGGGAGTTGTCAGTGCCCCAGCACAGGGGTCCTTGGGAGTTGGTATACCACTCATCATCTTGTTGCTCACTCTGGTGGTTTGGAACTCCCTCTGTGCCCACCCCTTCAGGCCATATTGAAGACCTTCTCAGCCAAGATCATGCAGCTGCTAAAGGAGTGGACAGAGGCCTTCCCCTGTGACTTCCAGGATGAGAAGGCCATGGCTGAACTGAAGGCCATCACCCACTGGGTCATGCAGTGTGATGAGGTGAGGTCCTCCCTCAACTCTGGTGGAGCTCCTTTGAGTGTTGTGGGGAGGAGTCCTTAGAGGCAGTTCTGAATGTGATCCCCTTCCCTGTCGCTCCCCCATGAGGACTGCTGGGTGCCTCCATTTTGTCATCTCCCCTACCTTGGGCAGCAGTGGGCCAGACTTGCCCTTGACAAGTAGGGGAACTTGAGCAGTGGGGTGGGCCTCACCCTGAGAATGTGGAATGAGCCTAGGCCCCACCCTTTCCTGGATTCTGTGTGGGTAGAGTGAGGGCTTAGTGAGAAGGGTAAGAGCCTGTCTACCTTTCCTGGCTCCCAGCCTGTTCTTGCCTTCAGTGGAGACAAGAACCTGGAGAACCCAGGGGGAGCCTAGGCTGGCTGTGTCTTGATGATGAAGGTGCTCCACACGTTCAGCTGCTCCCAGAGGGCTCAGAAAGTTCAGGGAGTGCTTTGGGAAGGACCAGTGCTGTTCACACCCAGAGAGTGAAGGCTCCTAACTGCAGAGTAAACCTTTCTAGATGCCTTCATCCCTCTTGCTGTAGGATGACCCTGAGAAGTAGCTCAGTTGGCTGCCTTCAGCTCCAGTGAAGTTACATTTTTCAGACCCAGAAGCCTAGCTCTGGCCCTGCTCTGGCAGGGGCCCTTCTTCACAGGACAGCCCACTAAGCCACCATCTCCAAAACGGCATCAGAGGAGCCCACACTTACCCAACTCTGTCAGGCCCAAGTGCTCATGGCAGGTTTGGTTAGAGCTGTGGGCTCAAAGTCAGGAATATCCCTGGGGATGAGATGGGTCCCTGCAGAGAGGTGGTAGTCTTGCTGCCATTCCATGCAGGTGCCTCCATTGCTTCCTGACCTCCACAGGAGAGTGGCACAGTGAAGAAGGCCATTGCCCAAATGACACAGAACCTGCTGTTATCCCTGGCTGCCCGGAGCCAGCTTCAGGAGCTTCGAGAGAGGCTCTGCTCACCAACTGTAGACAAAGGGCCCATCATGAAGGCCAAGCCACCGACCACTCAGAAGGATATCCTGGGCGTGTGCTGTGACCCCATGGTGCTGGCGCAGCAGCTGACTCATATTGAGCTGGTCAGTGCTGCCATATGCCTGTCCAAGGAGGGCCTGGGGTCATTCACTTATGCTCATCAAGAGCCACTAGCCTCCAGTATCTTTCTCAATATAAGCATTACAGGGCTGCCCTCACTAGGCAGACTGGGGTTTCAGGTAAACCCTGCTTGCCAGCCCTGACCATTGCCTCCAGCTAGTGTGCGGCCACCTAAACAGCAGATTTCTTTATGCTGGGTGCCTGGGTCCCCAGGAGCACAACAGCCCTACTTTAATGGGAGGGGCTGGGGTAGTAAGGTCTGAAGTGACTGGCCTGGGAGGAGGTAAGGGGCTTCAAGGGTGAGAGCTATTTCCTCTACTCTGTCACCTCTACCTGCCTGTGCTCTGGGCTGGGAAGTTCTCCTGTGCATGGCAGTCATTACCCTGAGGCTCCCTTCTTGCTCCCTTGAAGCCCTGTTTCCTCTCCTCTGGGGGAGGGGCTATCAAATCCCTGGAGTACTTTAGCCTGGGCAGGGCCTGCCCACTGGCTAGATGCTGTAGTCAAGGAGGGACCATTGCATACACTTCCCAACTAGTCCTGGCTGCTGCTCTGAATATATCCTACACCTCAAATGTGGGGCTTGTCCAAGGGCAGCAGGCTTATCACCCCCTGTGCTATCTCCCCCACTGCAGGAGAGAGTCAGCAGCATTCACCCCCAGGACCTGATGAAGATCATCAGCCATGTGGACACTCCAGACAAGCACAGGGTGAGGGGCTGTGGCCATAGGATGGGCCTGGCAGCAACATCCCATGCAGGGTGGCTGGGAACCCCACCAGCATACCTGAGTACCTTTGGACTGCCTGACCTCAAAACCCCGTGGATGTGGGTCTGGCCTCCTGGCACCTGCTCCAAGTGTTCGGCAGATGGCCACATAGAGTAATACATGTTGTGAGGGGTCTAACAGTCCTAGGACCTCAGGCAGCCAGCCTGTCCTCCAAGGCTGTCCCTGGGCATCCTGGAGACACAGGCTGGCCAAGGGGACCTGTCCAGTTGCCTCCATCCAACATCACTTTCAGTTTCTTCCTCTGGCCAAGGTTCCTGCTCCCCCATTTTGGGGCATGGCTTGGCAGCACCCTTTGGCAGCATCCTTGGTCTTCCTGTGACCTGCTGTGTTCTCCCCAGTGCCAAGGGGACCTGACCAAGACCTACAGCCTGGAGGCCTATGACAACTGGTTCAATTGCCTCAGCCTACTAGTGGCCACTGAGGTGTGCCGGGTAAGCACTGCACAGAGGATATGGCAGGGTGGCACCATCTCCTCCCCAATCCCACAGTGCTACTTCAGATACCAGATGTTCCTGCCCCCTTAGATGTTGAAACAAAGTAGAGATAAGAAGCCTCTATTGGTAGGGCCTTGAAGGTACTGAGTCCCACCCCCACCACGCCCAACAGTGATGACTTCAGTGATGACTGAGACCATCTGTGGAGTGCACTCTTTGCCCAGTACAGGGTCCCTTAGTTCTCTCAGCCTGCCCTCCTTCCTTTATCCAGCATCAGAGATGCCATGGCTGCATTTCCTGCCTCTGCAGACTGCCGGCACCCCCCGTCTGCTATCCCTGGTCTAACAGCTTTGTGGGCCCTAGGGCAGCTCCAGCCAGATGCCCTTCAGGGACTGATGGTGGAGAAGATACCCAAGACCCCATCTTGGAGCTCATGCTGAGGCTGCTGATTGCTCCCCAGGTAGTGAAGAAGAAGCACCGGACCCGCATGCTGGAGTTCTTCATCGATGTAGCCCGGGAGTGCTTCAACATTGGAAACTTCAACTCTATGATGGCCATCATCTGTGAGTGTCTGGGCCTGGGGCTTCCCACCCAGCTTCTGTGTGACCCATCTCCCCATCCTGACCCTACCTGCTGTCCTCTGCAGCTGGCATGAACCTCAGTCCTGTGGCTCGGCTGAAGAAAACATGGTCCAAAGTTAAGATGGCCAAGTTTGATGTCTTAGAGGTAGGCACCCAACCTCATCCTGTGTTGGCCTAATGAGGAGGGCCTCCCATCACATTCTACCTACCCTTTGCTTAGGACCTGCTACCTGCAGCACTGGCTGGTGTGGACTGTTGAGCCTACCTGACCTGGCCACACTGGGAAGGCCAGTAGCTTGAGCTCTTTTCATCCTTGATTTCAGTCGGATCTGGCATCTCCTAAAGCGAGTTTTGGGGAGTAGTAAAGAGTTTGACAAAAATGAGCCCATGAGACTTGTTGATTGATGCTAACTAAGCAGAGATAGGTTTTTTCTGATCTGACTTTTCACAGCACTAGATCATCTGGGTGGCCAGAAGCTGACAGGTAAGCTCAGTCATAGCCTTGCCCAGATGTATTTGATCATAGAACTAATTTTCTGCAAACATGTGTCTGTGGAGCCAGTTATCAGTGCAAGCAGAGGGGCGAAGGAAGGCTTTGAAAGGAAGGAGGAGACCCAGGCTCAGCAGGGCAGGGAAGAGTTGTGTGTGGGCTGTGAGACTTCTCTACAGCTTTCCCAATGACACTCAGACCCAACCCTGAAGGCCTTGGCCTTATGCTCAGCTCAGCATCTCTGGGCTTCCCTCCTGGAAGAGAGGCCTTTTCTGAGTGACAATCAAGTTGCCCAGAGGGGAAGTGCCTTCCCTATCAGCTTGTTCTCTGTTCTGCTCTGCAAAGAAGTGCAAGGGGAGCACCACCCACCATGTGTGTCCTCCCTCCTATCTACCCACAGCACCACATGGATCCATCCAGCAACTTCTGCAACTACCGCACAGCCCTCCAGGGGGCCACACAGAGGTCTCAGACAGCCAACAGCAGCCAAGAGAAGATTGTTATTCCTGTGTTCAATCTTTTTGTTAAGGACATCTACTTCCTGCACAAAATCCATACTAACCACCTGCCCAATGGGCACATTAACTTCAAGGTGAGCTCAGCCCCACTGTGGTCCAAGGGGAGGGGCTGGCTGTCCTAGTATAAGGCAGGGCAGACCTCCCAGTCTTGCCCCAAGGCAGGAAGAATCCATCTTTGCCAGGAGAGCAGCAAAGCCATGCTCCTGTTGCAGAAGGGCCTTTAAGACTGACATCTACAAGGTAGGTCACACTATTTGACATTGAGATGTGACAGCAGCACTGACCTTCTGGGTGGATGATCTGGTTATAGGGCTTGTAGCCACAGGGAACCTGCATTCACTCAGGATGCTGGTCCCAGCACTGATTCAACCAGGGAGACAGAGAAGGGGCCACCCCTGGGGATTTGGGATTTGGGAAGGCTTTAAGCAAGAAGGACTCGAGCAGGGAAGAGGAGGCAGCAGAATTCCAGATGTAAGTGAACACCTGTCTGGCCAAAGGCATGAGGGTAGGACAAAGGTGCTTGGGGAGGTATAGGGGGAGCTAGGTTGTCTAGTGTTCACCCCACACAGGTAAGGGATGGGAGGGAGTTACAGATTCCCACACAGGCCCAAAAGAGTGACATTATGACATGTGCTAGTTGTTGGTGCTATGCTAGTCATGGCTGGGATGCCTGCCTCATCTTGGAGTCACAGATGGGGACCTACTGGGGTCCCTGCTGCCAGCCTGATGGCCCAGGCAGAGGGCAGGAGAGAGTGTCCTCTGAGACACCTGCTGTGCTGATGCTGCACAAAGTGCTTCAATGAAGTCACTTGTGCAGTCACTGTTTCAACCTGCTGGGACTAGAGAAGTGAGCAGCAGGCAGACCCCAGAATCTATATCCCCTGCCCTTTTAGCTTATGGTGACAAGTGAACATCCAATTTGTCCTCTTTTCATTCAGAAATTTTGGGAGATCTCCAGACAGATCCATGAGTTTATGACATGGACACAAGTAAAGTGTCCCTTTGAAAAGGACAAGAAGATTCAGAGTTATCTGCTTACAGCGCCCATCTACAGCGAGGAAGGTGAGGCTGCCTCTGCATAGCAGCAGCCCCCTCCCTGCACAGGTGCATGTCCCTGTTCCCCTGACTCCCTTGGGGGCTGGCTTGATCATTACCCCCATGCTACACAGGGGAAGTTCAGCTCCCAGGGTGAGTTCATGAGGGTGGGTCAGTTGACAGATGAAGGATAAGGACAAGATGAGACCAGGCCCTAGAGGCCACATGAGAGAACCAGGATGGGTTTGGGCCAGTGCTACAGAACCAGGCAACTTCTCAGTGTCCTTAAGCAGGAAGCTGGGAGCCCTAGGCCTGATGGATCCATGGACGAGTTCAGGCCAGAGGTCACTATACCATTTGGCCTAGGAGTTACTTCTTAGCCTAGCTACATCCCTACAATGACAGTTTGAGAAGGGATAACTGGTATAGTAGGCAGGCTGACTGCATGTGGACATGGGTTCTGAATGGCTTCCCTGTTTCCCAGCACTGTTCATCGCCTCCTTTGAAAGTGAAGGTCCTGAAAACCACATGGAAAAGGACAGCTGGAAGACCCTAAGGTAGGGAAATGAAGGGGACTATTGTATAAATCCCCAAGTTTGGCTCCATGCAAGGAAGGGAGAGTACTGGGGGTAGGGTGGGAGTGAGCATACCAGATGTGCCCTTCTGAAAGGCAGCTGAAGGCCCCCCCCCCCCACACACACACACAGTCCAGGGAAAGGAAGATGTCCCTAGTACAGCTGCCAGTCAAAAGGAGGCTGAGGATTTGGAGTTTGAATGTCCCTGACTCCTCCCCTCCATGACCAGTTCCTGGAGAACAGGCCTCCACTGAAAGTATGGGTCTGCCCTCTGCTGGCTTGGGGAAAGGCCTGCCAGCACCTGACTATTGTGCTCTGTCCACCTTTAGGGCTACTCTCCTTAACAGAGCCTGAAGGTGTGGATGCAGCCTGCAGACACAGGATGAAGCACACCTGGGAACCAAGCTTTAATCTTGATAATGGGTTGAGATGAGGTGGCCTCACTGGTTGGGGTCCATTTGTACATAACTTTTATGGGAAAAAATGGTAATTATTTCATCCATCAACCTTTGGCACAGTTTTGTTGTTGTTGTTGTTGATTTTAAATAACAGGGCAGTGCCCTGGTTTTGGGAGGGATGGGGAAAGAGTATCATGGGAGATGGCATCCATGATAACATCTTGGTCTAATGAAATGTAGATTTTTATTTTCTACTTTTGACTATATTCACATCTTATGAAAAATATATTTAAAAAAACAACCAAAACTAATGTGAGCCCTACCTGCTTAGATGCCCTCCCAGTCAGTGTCTGTGACATCAGGGCTAGTGCCTTAGAGGGTACTGGAGGGCTGTCTCCCACTCTGCTCTGACCGCCCCCCCTCCCCAAGCGACAAGAGGCTCTGTGAATCCTTGGCCCTAGACTGTAGGCACCTGCCCTCAAAGCCTGGGCCACTGAGGGTCCAGGTTCCAGTGGGGCCTTGGGAGGGCAGGAGGTCTCATTTGCACACTTCTGGAAGCAAACCACCAACCACAGGCTTTCCAAAGTTTACATTTTCCTTTTCTTTTATCAGGGATTTATGGGGTTGGGAGAGGCAGAGGGACACCTGGCAGCATATTTTTATGTTGGAATATGTCTGGCAAATCTTTCTTCAACTACATTTTAGAAAAACAGAAAATCCAAAATAATGTCAGGTGTGGGGAGTTATGGAATTGTCAGTTTTCCAGGCTGTAACTGGAAGAAACACCTAGCTGTAAGGAAGAGCATACTAAGGGTATTGAGGATGGGAACACTTGGGCCATTTTCAAAACCCAAGTACCAAGTAAAAAGAAGCAACTCATAGACCAGTATTCCAGTGGACAGTGGCTCCTCCCCTCTAGGTGGGGGCTCTGCTGATGAAATCTGAAACAGAAAATTAGCCAGGCCAGCAACTTCTGGAGCCCGCTTACACACAATTGCCCCAAAATTTGGAGGTGTTTTTCAATCCCAAACTCAAGGAGCACACTCATTCCTGGCTGTGGGAGGAGGACTGCCCTGTTCCCTAGAAAGTGGGAGGTGGGCAACTCATGCGGACTCAATTTTCCTTGCAGGAGGTTTTGTTTGTGAATAGTTTGGAACTGCTCCCTGGTCTCTCTTCATATGCCTGGCTTCTGTAGGAGCCTGCAGTTGGAAGCCTGTCACTTGCTAATTCCCACAGCTCCTAGGAGAGCCTAGAGATGTGGAGCAAGGCCTCAGGAAGGAAGTGGCTGCTGATGTCACCTTTAGCTCTGGGTGGAGCAAGAATATTTACACTGTATTGTCACAGTGTTTTTGCACTTTTTAGATGTTTTAGATAGTACATGTTGTATATTGATAGTACATATTGTTTTGCTTATGTATTTGAGATAAAGACTTGAAACTCAAGAGTATATATTTGGAATATAACATTAGAACATTTTCTGTACATGTGTTATGGAGCTTTCCTATCACATACACATCACTGGAGCCTTAGTTCTAATGCCCACTGGCACATCATCTGTGTTTACCACTTTATTTTCCCAGTTGGATACATTTCCTAACTATGCTGTTTTGGTATTGTGAGATGAACTGTGAGTATAAAGCTGTACTGTAACACAGTATGCCAGTTGTTGGTGTAACTGGACATACCTGCATCAATAAAAGGACACATTGCTCCCCTCATGTGCCTGCTCTGTGTGGGACTGGCAATGACAAACAGCTGTGCTGCAGGCACAAGGCAAGACTGCCAGGGCTCTCACAGCCTTTCATGAGCAGCAAGTAGTTCTCATCTGCACAGCATATTCTGACAATGGGCTTTTCAAAATGAAAAAAAACAAAACAAAAATTATACAGGTGGTGTATTCCAGTCCTGCTTTCCTCAAATTCAGACCCAAAAAGATGTCAAGAGCTCCTTGTATTACATGGTCATGTAAGTTTGGGAAAGCTAAATTAAGATTGTAAAGTTTCCTTTCCTGTCAGACTCATCAGAACTTTAAGTGCCCTTTGGCACTGGGGGTCTCTCCCAGGGCGGGGGCACGTGGGGGACACCTGATGGCATCTTTCTGAAGAGCAGTTTGCAAAATGCAGCTCAAGAAGGGTCTCTTTGTGGTGTCATGTGTCACATTCAAGAGCACTACAGAAAAGGGATTTGTTAGGAGCAGGTGGAGCTTGGGGAATTGAAGAAAGAATGATACTAGAACAGAAGGCAACTCCCACCTGCTTCTTTCTGGACCACCCTACTGCCACATGGTTTACAATGCCTGAGCCCTATGAGGTCACTGCTCATGAAACCTCATTCTACTCCTTAAAGTTAGCTCAGCCACCTTTAATGTGTTCAGTGTCTATCATGCCCTCAAGACTAGCACTGCCCAGCAGAAAACTTTCTGCAGTGATGGGGGGGTTCTGTATCTGTACTGTCCAGTGTAGCAACTGTTAGTTACACATAGGTACTGAGCACTGAAATGTAGCCAGTCTGACTGAACATGTAAATTTAAATAGCTAGTGATCACTGTGTTGGATGGAAGACTATCTCTATCCCACAGTGCCTCATGGAGTGGGCAGCACCAAATAGGTGCTTAGGTGTTTGTGGAGCAAACAAGGACACCTGTGAGGATGTAACTTTTGGATAAATGACACCATGTTTTAGGTCTTTAAATTCAATGGCATCCTTAATTGCTTAATCAGATTAACTTTAGAGGTTTCTACCTACATCATCTGAGAAGGGGCAGCACATTTTTGGTCTGCATCTTGGACATGGAGCTTGAGCTGGAAGTGGACATCAATCTACTTGGCTAGCTGGTTCTCTCACCATCACCCATAGGATGTAGTCCTTCCAGGGCATGCTTCTTAAGGTGTAGGTCCAAGTTCAGCAGCATTAGCACTGGGAACTTGTTTGCAATTTATGCTCGGGGCTCCACTACACCTACTGAGTAGGATAAGGAGAGTCCTAGCAAGCTTCAGAAGCTCTTTCAGCAGGTGAGGTTCTATAGGAATTGGCTCCTGCTTACTCTAATCGCTCACTTTTCCCAGGTACCCTATCTCTCAGGCACAGTAAACTCAAAACATGCCACACTTGTGCACCACATCTAATGCAAGTCCCCTACCATTCTCACACATACACATTCTTGGAGAGCTTCCTGTGAGAGTCACTCTGTGCTCCTCCAGGCCCTGCTCCTCTTTCCACATCATACTGTTGGTATTCATTTCATGCACTAGAGCAGGGGTGTCAAATTCATTTTCACCAGGGGCCATATCAGCCTCAAAGTTGCCTTCAAAGGGCTGAATGTAATTTTGGGACTGTATAAATGTAACTACTCCTTAACTGGAGGCAAGGAGCTCAGCATTGCCGGCAGATAGAAACAAGGCACCAGGCTGGATAAAACAAGGTGGAGGGCTGGATTCAGCCCACAGGCCTTGTGTTTGCCACCTGTGCACTAGAGTCTGGGCTATTTCTGTGTAGGAGCCAATTATGTAGCTGTGTGGCTATCAATCAGCATGGTATACAGCTCCTAATAACATCATATGATGACTGAATGCTACCTTTTGCTTCACACGTTTCAGGAACAAATCTGTTACAGATCAGCTGTGACTAGAAGATAAGCTAAGGTCATAGAGACTTCTGTGACAAAGCTAAGATTATTTGTGAAATATACACCAATTATGCCTGTAAGTAAAATGTGTATCAGATCGCTTAAGCTGGGTACCCTTGGACAAGGTGTTTACATTTTCAAGTTTCTGTCTTCTCTCAATTAAATTGGAATGACAATACTCTGTATCTCATAGGGTTGTTGTAATGGTATATGGCAGAAAGTGTGGCCCCTGTTCCTTAGATGCTTCTAAGTGTTAGCTGGGTACTCACAATGGCACCTCTGTTGACAATGAGTGTCTTTCCTCCTACAGAGGGCAGAATCTTCTGGAAAAGTGAAACACAGGAATAGAAGTGCCCTTCTCAAAGGAACAGTTGAAGTCCTGGTCAACAAATATATTCTAAAAACATTAACAAAGAGTCACTTACATGTTGAATTTAACCAGTATATAAACTTCTCCACAAATTTGGAATTTAAAACTACTTTCTAAATGAAAAACCTACTACCCACCTACAGGCTGGTAATGTTAGATTACACCAACACAATTTCTATCTTAATTCCCAATATTGGAATTCATGATATTGTGAGAAAGGTAAGAGCTACCAGAAACATTTGTCCATTTGTCCATTTCTAGCAGCATGAAAGACTAAGTGCTTGCCTGCTGAAATCAATTGATAAAATTATGTGAAATTTAAAAAGTCCAAGTGGACACAGGAACCCAGAAGGGTTAGGGAAGCCTTTGAAGCTAGCATTTACCCTGAGGAAAGAGACCCCAAACTTCCACTTCAAGTCCACAGGGGGATGGAGAATAAAGTCTAGGGCTTGGCTCAGAAGAAGGGTCAAACAGGAGACCCTTGTCCATAAAAGCTGGCACCCCTATGCACAATAGTGAAGTAAAATACTCGACCCTCCAACCCCACCAAGAGGGTTGGTTAAAAAAAATCCCTGTTTGGAACCTCAGTATGAATGGAGGAAAATTTTACCCCCAATAGTTTGTAACCACAACTTAGTGAATTTCATTAAATTGTGCAGCATAAATCACAGTGGTCAAAAATATTTTAAGCCAAGGATTTAGTTTAATGAGGCCCTGAAATAGCACTGCCCCTAAGTTACTCAGTAGAAGAAAACATTCCGACCTACAGTATATTCTAGTTCAAAAAGTGCCTCCCCCTAGCTGTGTCTAATCTGTTAAACCCATCTGTTGGATTTTAAAAATTCATTTTCATTTCTAGAAGAACCAAATAGAGATTCTTTCCCAAATCCATTTGGTCGTAATTCTGAAGAAATTACAAAAATATAACACAGACAAAAATAAGGGAAAGTGAGAGCTAGGAAGATGGTAGTGAGGTAGGTAGAAGCAGAGCCCAGTTCTCCCTGTGGCCAGCTGGAACACCTACCCAGTCTTCTGAGGAACAAAGTGAACAGCCAACAGAATCCCAGCTTATATGAAATTTGGAGGCCAAAAATTGCAGAGGGCATTGAAAAAACAGATGGGGAGGAGATTGTGCCAAGAAGGTAAAAGGTCCCTGGGATCTGTGCAGGGACCAAGGCTGCTGCAGCCCCTGGCCCAGTGCCTGCCACAGGATATGAGGAGGATAGTTAGATCACCAGCTCCCTCCCCTACCGGAGCAGGTAGGGCAGCCCAGCACCAGGAGAGACCTGGATGCTGGAAGTCACTGGGGGGAATAGAGACACAGAGGTGGACCACATCTGCTGGGACTATGGATGCCAGCACCAGAGAAATTGAGGTCCCAAGGCAGTACCTGGAGAAGGGGGGAGTGGGGTTGTGTGTGACCCTAACTCAGATAGTCTCCCAACTGGTTGGAAAGTTGGGCTGTGTAAAAAGTGGGGCACTAGTTAAGAACGGTGGGCAGCTGCTTTGTAAGGAACTCTGGAGCAGCAGCTGACTCGCCCTGGGGGCAATTTCAGCTGCATACACCTAGAGACTGAATGGCTGAGCAGAACCTTAGGTGCCTGGCTTGTCTCTGGGTTCCACACAGGAGATTAACTCACTGAGTGCTCAGAGACTGAGTGGCTGATTTGAGCCTGGCAGCTCATGGAGGGCCTAAGACAGCAGAGGCTGGGAAACTGTGAATATTGCAACCCAGACCTGCTCCAAATCCTCTCAAACCCATAGGAAAGGAGAAAAGTGAAGCCCAGCACCCCTCTTCCTGTGGCATCCAAGAAGACCAGCAGAACTCAATGAACAAGTTTAAAGTCAGCAAGAGGCTTATTTTTTCTTTGTGGATCCTTTCACTTTTTTTTTTCTTCCCACAAGTGAGACAATAAGAAGTTACTAAGGGTCCAGAGACAGATCAAAAGGGGAGCACAAGGTTAACCACAAACACTGAGAAACTGAGACAAATGTCACTTTGCTATCCCATAGAGCTGACATTTTATTGTTTATGTGTTATCGTTTCATTATTCTTACTTTTTTATTTCTCTTTCTTATGTTTAGTTTTCCTCCTTTTATTTCTCTGTTTAATTGCATTGTTTGACTGGTTTTCCTTATTCTCTCTTTATTGTACTTTAATTTTCCTTCTTTCACTTCACCTGTGTTCCAATAACACACAGCTCTTGATCAGGTACTTTCTATTCTGGTTATCTAAATCATACATTTCTTGTCATATTACTGTTGTTCCAGTACTACTGTAAATAATTGTTGTTCCATACAATTATGCATACTACACAGCAACCCTCCCTCATCTTAGCCCACTTCATTTCAAATCCTGAGCATTATTATTATTGTGGTTAATTCTACTCTCTCTCACAATACGCCTACTTTCTATCCTTTACTCTCACTATATCACATCATCTAACTTTGCACAAGTACACTATTTTCTAGATTCAGCTCACAATCCTCCTCTCCTCGAACAAGAATCTTCTCTCTCTTTCACCTTTTATAAAAAGTGGCTAGTTGGGTGAAATATCACAGTTAACACTATACTTATCCAAGACTCTGCTATCTCTTCTCTACTTGCTGGTATTTAAATCCCATAAAATAC